CCCCAAAACCCCAAAACCCCAAAACCCCAAAACCCCAAGTTAAAAATTTCCTTAATAATATTTAAGCAATGGCTGTAAGTAAATGGAAGAATTCATGAGGAAAATAAAATACTCTATTCAAGCTCATAGTCGAATCTCGACTGAGCACTTTTAAATGTTGGTATCTTCTATTTTTGCACTCAGATCTATCAATACTGTTGGAATATAATTGAATAAATAAGTCTTTCTGCCTGGTGAGCTTTACCTTGCTTAAATTACCAAATACTAATATAAGTAAAATCATGTTGTGAGTCGACTGGTACTTAAAATTTCTCTTTATGGTCCATCTGAATAGCAAGGATCAGTTAAAATATCATAAAATTTATGAAATGTGTTATTTTTCTACAACCTCCTATCCTGAAATGTACAACAAAGTATCGAAATGCTAGGATTAGAACTAATTTCATTATATAGACAGATCTTTCCGAAGATATTGGGTGACAAGAACTCACTGACAGGTTAGACAAAATCCGCCTAATTCCACATTTTTCTCCAAAGGAGAGTATTTTAATAAGCAATAAAGGGAGTCCTAAATAGGGATGAAAAGATCAAATTGGCTCTTCCTTCCTCTTCTTTTAGGATTAGACAGCAACATAAAAAGACTTTTAAACTAGTCAGTGAGCTGTCTATTATAAAATCTGAAGAGCTTGACTCGGTCAGTGATGAATCTTCCTCAAATTGATTGGTACAGCTTAAGAAAAGCAGCAGTAAGTTAGTTGTTCCTGTCGACTCTTCTTTTTATAATTAACTAGCTTTATATTAGACATTAAGGGCTCATTCTTTAACTATATTAATAGAGGTAATGGGGATGAATGGAATCCTACAGTCAAGCTCGAGGACTCACTTCAGGTCAAAGAAGTTATTTTCATCAACTCTCCAGCAATCATTTGTCAAGATTCCTCCAAGAGGGATATCTCCTGATAAATTTAACTCATAATATTTTCTAGAGCTCCTCTTGAAAAATGGGTTTATTAAAATATCTATTAGTATTCTTGAAAATTCTTGCTCAGGTTAATTTTAGTCATAAAATAAAGACGAGAAAGGAAGATTTTGGCAGTTTCCCTTAAACTAGGGCCAACTTGTCGGCCCAGTCACCCATTTCTGGATTATAAAACCATCTCTGGAATTTATAATGCCTCTTATTTTAACGCAAAAATGCAGTTTACAAGGCATACCAGCAATAATAGGCTTCAGTTAAGGAGTTATAGTAGCTAGGTCTTAATCAAAACCTGTTTTAGTCCTATTTCTTCTAAATATTCATCTCTTAGAATTTAGGCTCAGTTCAACTTAAAGGAAATGTGGGAGATGTATTCACCTAAAGTTGTAAATTATAATCATTTTCATAAGTTGTAGCAACCAGTTATTGTTAACAAAATATGTAATTAGGGGTTTTGGGGTTTTGGGGTTTTGGGGTTTTGGGG